AAAATGGAGATGTGGGAACATTTTCGGTGACATCGGGTTTGGAAGGACAGGGTACGGTTCATCAAGGAATTGGCGAAAGAGGTAATGGCGGCCAAAGTCTTGAATGGTAACGGTGTAACCAAGGCTGTTCGGGTTGAGAAGATGATCAAATGGGTGACTCCGCCAACGGGCTGGTTCAAATTAAACACTGATGGCGCGTCACATGGCAATCCGGGACTAGCTACAGCTGGGGGAGTATTACGGAATGAAGCGGGAGAGTGGTGCGGAGGCTTCGCGCTGAATATTGGCAGGTGTTCGGCGCCTTTGGCGGAGTTATGGGGAGTATACTATGGACTCTACATAGCTTGGGAGCAGCGCATTACAAGACTGGAATTGGAGGTGGATTCTGAGATGGTGGTGGAGTTTCTTACGACAGGGATTGGGGATTCTCATCCCTTGTCCTTCCTAGTACGTCTGTGCTATGGCTTTTTATCGAAGGACTGGCTAGTCCGAATTTCACATGTGTATAGAGAAGCTAACCGTCTCGCGGATGGGTTAGCAAACTATGCATTTTCGTTGCCCTTAGGTTTTCATTCGTTTTCTTCTGTACCCCCGTGTTTGGATGAGCTTACACGGGATGATGTTTTTGGGCCACCGAGGCCGAGACAAGTTATTTTGTAATTTTTTTCTATTTTTTAATAATAATATCCGGGAGTTTAACTCCCGGTGATTCACCAAAAAAAAAAAATGAAAATCATTAATTTGTGGTGTATAATGTATTTTAATCAAATTATATTCTACCAAGATGATTATAGAAAGTTCTAAATTTTACCAATATGAATCCATTATGATAGGATTTATTTATTGTTGGTGTTATGGACAAAATTACTTTTGTTGTAATTGAGAATTTATAAAGTTAAGAGGATGAATATTGCCACGAAAATGGGTAATAATTACAAACTGAATATAATAGAAGATTGCATATTTTATATTATCTTTTTTGGTTGTAAGATATATTTGGTTTTTGGACCTCTAATAATAGAACTTTGCTTTCGTTTTATGTAAATAACGACATTGGCCAACCTTATCCCTAAAGTCAGACACTTCTAAGAAACCAATTTGATACGGGAAAAATGTCGTTTTATCTCCCAACTGTCAAAAAGTGGCCAATCAATACGTCAACTTTATATGTGGCCATTTAAAACATGAAATAAACGTTGACTAACGGTTTGGAACATGAAAATTCGTTGACCAGGCCAAAATAGACATGCCGTTATCAGTCGTTAACGAAACCTCTAACGCCCGTTATCACCCGTAACGACTCTGTTAATCAACTTTCAAATTGTGGCCAATTTAAACATCAACTTCATATGTGGCCATTCAAAACATGAACTAATCGTTGACTAACATTTGAAACATTAGAATTCGTTGACCAGGCCAAAATAGACATGTCGTCATCATTCGTTAACAGAACCTATAACATCCGTTATCACCCGCTAACGACTCTGTTAGTATGTCCAAAACGACGTCGTTTTGAAAATAATCGAGAGAAAATCAGGACAAATTTTTTGTTTAAAACATAATCCAAGGACATGGTTTGATATAGAGACAATCGTAGAGCCAGTAATTGGAAGCAAACATCGTTTATATATTTGTTTTAAATCTAAAAAGGAATCATGGAAGCAAACTTGTAGACCCATCATAGGACTAAATTAGGCATGGGCGTTCGGATATTCGGGTCGGGTTCGGGTCGGGTTTTTTGGGTTTGGGTTTTTCGGGTTTAGAAAACTAAAACCCGTTCGGGTATTTTAAAACTTCGGGTTCGGGTCAGGTTTGGATCGGGTATTTCGGGTTCAGATTCGGGTTTACCCAAAGTATCCAAATATTAGAAATTTTGTATCCGATTCTATGCAAAGTATTGAAAAATACTCAAAAAATCTATAAAACCCAAGTATTTTAACCCGAATCTAACCCAAATTAGCTAAAACACCCGAAAATATCTTAACATCCGAATAATTTTGGCACTTAGGTTATTACCAGTATAACTATTACTAATATATTATAACTATGTACTTATATTTTGGGTATATTCGGGTATTTGTTCGGGTTCGAGTTCGGGTCGGGTTTGGGTTTTCGGGTTGTGAAGTTTAGAATCCGTTCGGGTATTTTAAAACTTTGGGTTCGGGTTCGGGTCGGATTTTTCGGGTCGGGTTCGGTTCTGTTCTTCGGATTCGGGTATTATGCCCAGGCCTAGACTAAATATAGCTTTTCAGAAATGGAGATAGAGATAATAGGACTATTCATCTTCTTTGAGCTGTTGTAGAAATAGATTTGGGGATTTGGTGTTTTCATTTGGGAAAAATCTCTTTGGACATACTAACAGAGTCGTTAACGGGTGATAACGGATGTTATAGGTTCTGTTAACGAATGATGACGACATGTCTATTTTGGTCTGGTGAACGAATTCTAATGTTTCAAATGTTAGTCAACGATTAGTTCATGTTTTGAATGGCCACATATGAAGTTGATGTTTAAAATGGCCACAATTTGAAAGTTGATTAACAGAGTCGTTACGGGTGATAACGGGCGTTAGAGGTTCCGTTAACGACTGATAACGGCATGTCTATTTTGGCCTGGTCAACGAATTTTCATGTCTCAAACGTTAGTCAACGTTTATTTCATGTTTTAAATGGCCACATATGAAGTTGACGTATTGATTGGCCACTTTTTAAAAGTTGGGAGATAAAACGACATTTTTCCCAATTTGATACCGTGTTGCTCTTCTTCTCTTATTTGTTTAATCAACATTTTCTCTCTATTTCTCTCTTTAATTAGTTTCTAATTAATCATACATATAAAAGTAGTGTTTCACTCTTCCATGATTGGTCCACTTGGCAATTATTTTAAAAACTAAAATTAAAATTAATAATATTTATATCCAATCAAAGTATAAATATAACATATTTAATCATACATATTAATCTACTTTTAAGTACTAAATTGTAACTGAAATTATAATTATAACTGAAATTATATAAATTATGTATTAAATATTTGTCTCCACTCAATGTCATTCAACAACACTATTAATTTTAATTGTAACCCCCTAATTTAATTATTTTCTAAATGTAACTTCCATCATCTCATCCTATAAGTAATCACTTTCTCATCCTCATCTACCATATCTCAAATCATAAGTATTACTCTACTTTCTTTTTTTCAATCTTATGTTGTTGCATTGGTCGAAAAATCAATTGAGACATCATTATAAGAGTTTGCTTCTAAATTTTATGTCTAGATATGGTATGTATATTACATTTTTCCAATTTTATTTTAATTATAATGTGTTACTAGAATATTCTTTAATTCAAAATTATTATGTAAATAAATTTTTTGATGGTTATAACAAAAAATTCATATTTATCGATGGAAATTCAAAAAGAGCAATTCAATCAATAGCACAACAAGGAGATCAAGTTGAAAAAATTCATCTCCAATATCTACGTTAGACATTTAGTTATTTTTTTACATATTCATGTATCTTTAAACTGAAATAATTATTGTAATACATTTATCAAAGAAATTGTACCTACTTTTTTTTATCTCAATAATTGTTTTCAAATATTTTTAATATACTCATCACCATTATGTTTAGTTTGTTAATCTAATAGACAATTATATAAAATATTATTATTATATTTATTTTATTCAATTTTTGTATTGTTTTGTTTTTATCTCAATAATTGTTTTGTAATATTTTTTTAATTACTCACCATCATTTTGTTTAGTTTGTTATTCCAATAGACAATTATATAAAATATTTTTTATTATATTTATTTTTATTCAATTTTTGTATGTTTTAATTTCTTTATTTCTTAACTTACTTTTTTCTTATCTCAAATATATTTTTGTAATATTTTTAATATACTCACCATTACATTTAGTTTTTATCCAGTAGATCATTATATAATTTGACACAAAATATTCGTACCCAACCCCATATTATTACCTATGTAAAAACTATTCCTCAGCATTGGCTTATATAAAACCAATATTAATAACTCATACTAAATAAATATAAGACATCACCCAACACTACTAAAATACATTTACTATGTGATTAAACTCACATTGACCATAATGTTTTTTTTTTTCATCGCATTGACCATAATTATAATTTGAATAGTTTTCCTACTAATTTTACAAACTTTATAACTCTTTAAATGCATTTATTTTGTAAATGTAACTTCCATCATTCATCATTGTATAAATAAACATTTTTAGTTTTCTTATTTTCCTCCACCATATCTAAAAATGTTAATATATGCATAATAATTTTACATGTTAATGAATGAAAATATGCAACAAGCCACGCATAAGCAAAACAAAACAAAATTATAATATTTATTTCTAAATTCTAATTAACTCATATTCAAAGCCATGGTTAAACTCCACATTTAATCCAAATGTAAATTATAAAAAAACTTCATTGCACATTATAACTCCATATTTAATCCAAGTGTAACTCTTACCCAATAGTTACAAAAACTTCATTCTCCCACTAAAATACATTAAATATTTGATTATATATATTGACTACAATTCATAAATTGAATGGTAAATATAAGACAATATTATTAAATGACTCTAAAATACAATATAAAACGAGATTGAATTCACATTATCATAATTTTCGAATTCATGAATAAATGCACATTATCATTAGCTTAGGCATTGAATTCTCATTTTTCTAACGGTCAACTAAAAACTCTAAAAAAAAAAGTAATATCAGTCTAACGTAATACTAACATGGAAATATCACTTGTATATATATTTAGATGTGCACTTTAGTTTTGGACTCATATTAGCTCTAGAGTTCAGCCTTTTAGTTTTTGAGAAATATTTTATATTGTTTAATTTCCTATTGTTAGTTAAGTCTTGGTTATGTATATCTTCTTTTGTTTTTTGTTTTTTTTTTCCTTTAAGATCTTCTTTGGTTTTTGCTTTGTCCTAAATGTAATTGATGAATTTTTTGCATCTTCTCCAAACCATATTCTTCACAATATGGTAGAACTAAAAACTACTGAGGAGGATGTGAAAGAATCAAATGCATTTTAAGCCATTAAATGTATATGAAGAAATGAGTGATGGAAAATAAAGTCAATTATAAAAGCAAGCAAGGATCCATGAGAAAGAAATGAGGATATGTATGATAGGAAAACAAAGTTTTGAAAGGAAGAGGAACGGTTATGGAGGTTCATGGAATCAGAACTTCACAAACAGATGTAGAGCACAAGGTTTATAAAGTTCAAATGGTGGCTAACTTGAGGCAAGTGTTCGGATAATCTCGGAAAATGGTGAAATATGATGATAGGTATGATAATAATAGGTTAACATCGTAATTTACTTGTCTTTCCAGATGAAATATTTTCAGTTAAATTTTAATAAAAAATTTCTTATTATTGTTTATTAAATTTATAAATATATATATAGCCTCATGGGTGTTAATTAAATTAAATATGATCAACATAGGTGTTCACTAAATTAGGAAAAATGTATATATTTTTATATTAATATATCCTATAAATTTTGTAATACTTTTGTTTGTTTTATTTTTCTAAGTTTGTTCTATAGATTTTTCATTTTATTTTAAATTTGGTATGATAAATAACCATACTAAATAAATTTGACAAAAATGCAAGGTTTCACTTTGTTTTTATTTGACCATTTAACTTCCACATCGTTGCCATATAGGAAATTTTGAGATTTAATTTTCTAGAAAAAAAATAATTTTTTTTTACTATGTTAGTTGAAAAAAAATGTTATTTTTTTATTATTTTTTAGAAATATAATAGAAGCCATTATAGAATAATCCACGCGTCGCGTGGACTAACACCTAGTTTATATCAAAAGCAGTGTTCAGCCTTCAGAATCATATACATAGTTTTATTTCTTAAATAAAATACTATTAAAAAACTCAAAAAAAAAAAAACAAATCCCCTGATTAATTGGCTAGGCACTAGATTTTTTTTAGTGGTCCGATTAGCATCTAGCAAAAATTTTGATCACTAGTTTTTTAAATTTAATACATGAAAAAAAAAAAAAAAAAAAAAAAAAAACCTTTGTGCCAAAGCAATTTGGGTAGCATTAAGTTTAACTTACGCACATCCAATATGAGCAAATCATCATTTGCAGGCAACTCATACGACATGGCTTTACAAGATATCTAATAAGGCCGATCAAAAATAGGCCCACTAAAAATTAAGGCCCATTAACATAGCATACCGAAAAGAATAATAAAAAAAATTGTTTTCCAAAACTGTCGTAAAACCCTACCGGCGGGATTTTTCCGGTGAACAGCCGTCCCGAGTGATTCGGGCTTTCGTCCGGCATCTTATGGCTCTGTTAGCCAAGATGGCTGGCTTTCGTCCGGCAAATCTGGCTTCTACTAGCGGTTTTGGCCGGCTTTTATATTTCTTTAGCCGTTGATCGGTTTGTATACCGATTGTTTTTAGTTTCTCTTTCGTTTATCTGTCAATAATTCTATGGATTTCAGTTGGTGACTAGTTTTAGGTGTTAGTCACTTAAGATTATTCTCGCCGGCTTGTATCTCTAGAAAACTCGATTTGCAGGATCGCCAAAGTAATGAAAGGAAGTTTTGTTTCCAGCATATTTGGATTGCCTGTAGCCGTTCTACATGTAATTGGTGCTTCGATGATCAAATTTTGAGGATCAATCAGATTTTCTATCCTTTTTACCCGATATTCGCCGGATTTCTTGTTTGATGATTTGGCATACGGATGGGGTTGAAGTCTCTGTTTTTGTATCCTCTCTCCCTGTCTTAGCAGTCTCTGGTGAATAACAACTAAAATCGATGTTCGCTGTTATACCGGCGTCGATTGCGTTCACCGGATCGGAGCTTTTGTCGGCAAAGGATGAAGGAATGTTTCATCATTTCTCTTGCAACACGTTGATTCCACGTGTCGTTGTTTTAAGAACGTGTATTGTATTAGAGATTATCCTTCCTTTTACAAGATGTGATGTACTGGGCCTGTGGGCTGTGTATTCTGTTGATCTTTAATATACATAATCTTTAGTGAAAAAAAAAAAAAAAAAAACCCCTACCTGCGAAAAGGAATTTTAAAGAGCATCCTTATAAATAAGCCGCTCCATAGTTTTTTTGTTTGTTTCCTACAAACTCTAAAACCCTAAATTCTTCTTCTCAAAGCAGCCACACACACACACACACACCTCCACATCTTCCTCTTTCACTAGCTATGGAGTTTTGGGGTATGTCTCTCTAAAAATTATACCTTTATTAAGTTCTATTGAATACCTCTGTCTTGTGTTGTGTTCAAAAATCTGTGTTGAATTCTCTCTATTAGTCAATAAGCATTGTCTTGCATTCGAAAACTGTATAATTGTTTGCTAGTATTAGTATTCTTGGAGTTTAGGTTTCAAAAGATCAATCTTTGTGAGTTTAGGTTTCAAAGCATCTATCTTTGTGAGTTTATGTTTCAAAGCATCTTTTTTGTGAGTTTATGTTCAAAGCATCTATCTTTGTGAGATTTTGTTTCAAAGCATCTATCTTTGTGAGTTTATGTTTTCAAAGCATCTGTCTTTTTGAGATTTTGTTTGCATTTGTACCCAATGTGTGATGAATAATGTTCAATTTTAGGTATTGAGATTAAGCCAGAGAAGCCTTTTAAGATGATTTCAAAAGATGGATACATGGTCCATGCCAATCAGGTCTGTATCAGTTTTGTAATTCCTGCAAGTTTCTCTCTTTGTGTAAACATGATTGGTATTGATTCTGTTACTTGTTGTAACATCTCTTAGGTTACTCTTGGTGAGGTTGACAAGGTTAAAGAAGATGAGAATGTTCCCGTTTATGTGAAGATTGGTGATGATAAGAGTGGGTTTATCATTGGAAACCTCTCGCAGAAGTTTCCTCAAGTTTCTCTTGATATCTTCTTAGGGCATGAGTTTGAGATTTCTCACAACTCTAAAACAAGTGTCTATCTTATTGGCTACAGGACCCCTATGGACGAACAATATCCTTTGTTTCATTGCCTTTTTTTTAGTTCAATTCATGGTCACTTGCAATTTCAAGCTTTGTTTGTTTATCCTTGATTTTGTTTTGCTCTGTTTTTTTGCTGTTGCTCACGGATGAGGAGATTGATTCCGGTGAGTTATATATAATTCTTAGTCAATAATTTGATTTAATCTATTATGAAGCTTGAAGCTAATCTTTTGCTTTTGGTTTTTGTAGATTCTGAGTTAGAGGAATTTATGGAACAACAAATTGGTATGTTTACTTTACTAAGCTATTGCTTTGTGGTAATTAAAGTTTATTATGAATCCTAACTTTGATATTGTTGAAAAGATGCTTTGCCTCAAAATGAGATGAATAATGAGATGAATCCTGAAGAAGATGGGTCATCCGACGACTCAGATGAGGTAGATTTTACTTGAAGGAGTTACTGATAAGCAATGAATCAGTATAAAAAGCTAATCTTGATTGTTTTTTTTCTGTATGTTTGGTTAGATGGGTTTGGACGAGGATGATGAGTCTTCGGATGAAGAAGACGTAGAGGCTGAAGCACAGGTTCCTCCGAGCAAGAAGATGTCAAATGGTATACATGGGATACCTAAAGGTGGAGACAAGAACAAGTCATCAGGTAACTAAAACTAAAAGTTCAGATATATAAAGATATAACTTTGAGTATGATTTGGATTATTGATTTGGTTTAAAACCATTTTGGTGTAGGAGGGAAAAAGAGATGTCCATTCCCTTGTGGTTCTTCCTGCAAAAAGTAGAGGATATATGCACACACCAAATCACATTTTTCCATAGAAATTTGTACTTGTTTTTATTATTCAAAATTTTGGATAGTTTACTTTACCCTATTGGTGAATGTTTGAGTGACTTATGAGGTTTTTGGGGTTGAAAATTTTGGGATTATTCTGTCGTTTTGGAGTTTTAATGGTTTAAAACTTTAAGGTGGTGTTATTCAATGATGGATTTTAATAGAATTGAAATCCAACACTAATCCAGTGTTATTTAACTAATGATTATAAATCTAACGTTTAAATCTGGTGTTATTAGATATTATACTTCATTAGATTTTAAAAGTTTGGTGTTATTCAATGGTGGAGTTAAAGTCAATTCTTTAAGGTTTGTAAAATTCAGTGTTATTCAAAACTAAAAATTTGTAAAATGTTTGTATATTAAGTCATTTCAAATGAAACCTCTTTGGAGTTTCATGAGTAAATTATTAGAATCAAAATCCAAGATATATTGCAGAGATTTTGAAATCCACACAAACAGATTCTTAAAACCAATATCAGAAAACAAATCTAAACCTTAAAGAATTGATTTTAACTCCACCATTGAATAACACCCCCTAAATGAAATATGATTTGTGTTATTCGAATTTCAAAATCATTTTTGCTTTTCAAGTCCATAAATTTTTCAGTGATGATTGCTGATGTCGACAAGTTCTAATCTAATCTTGATCGCAATACTAAAGTAGAGTATATCCGTATATGTAATAAAAGAGTTAAAAACGGAAGTAGTTCAATTAGTCAATGTCCTTTCTTTTTTACTCCCTATTGTAAACAATAATAACAACAACATTCGTTTGTAAAGTAAAGATTAAAAAGATGTTTAAAAAAAGGAACGAAGAAAAAGTAGGCAGAAATGTGTGGCAAAACGAATGAAATTAAACATTCAAAATCTCCAAAATTGAAATGCGTCTGCCGGGAGTCGAACCCGGGTCTATTGCTTGGAAGGCAATTATCCTAACCGTTGGACTACAGACGCTACCTGTTACTTTATTTATTATTAACTTATATAACCAGTCAACATCTACTTATTTATTTTTACTGGGGAAACCTTGTTTGAAAAATCGCTAGGCGTTAGTCGGACGTTCGATATGGGCCTAGCGATTAATCAAAAAATCGGATTAAAATCGGGAATTAATAGGGGACTAGTTTTAAGGTTATTTTAATTTTTAAAGATATATTAATCTAATATTGTTTTCAAAATTGCAGTAAACACATAAAAATATATTTTAAAGCAAATTTTTATGAATTTTTATTAAAAATTATGATTTTTATTAAAATTTGAACATAAATTATTGTAAAATATCACAAACTTCCAATTCCAATGATTGAATAACAAAAAAAAATGTTGTTTTATATTTGCAATAAAAAAATAATAGGAATATATAAGAATATGCGGAAATTAATCGGATTAGGCGGAAATTAATCCGATAAAACGGATAATAATCGCATGACTGAATTTTTTTAAGAGATTAGTCATTACTCGAAGCGGAGAGGGTGGACCTAGCGATTAAACGGAGACTAATCGGAATAAGCGGAGATTTTTAGAACAGGGGAAGAAACACATTCTGTACTTGATAGACAAAAAAATATTTGAACTCGTAAACACGTAAACGGAGCATTTTGAACATATAATAAACGCAAACATTACTGTCTGTATCATTGGCTACAAACTATTAACCTTTTGCTTTCAAACAGCTGCGACATACATGGCCAACAAACCAACCAAAAAGAGAAAACTAGTAACGAAAATATAGAAGATATACTTGATACGAACCACCGTGATTATACTGTTTTCTTTTTAAAAAGGTTTTCTCTTGTGATGAAAAAAAAATAGAATCGAATAGAGTAAAATGCCAAAATGATGCGTGTTTAACGAGTCTTGTTGGTAACTTGGGTCTTGGAGAGTTTAGGAAGCCACTGGTTTGGATGTTGCTTTCTTCACAGCTTCAGCGTATGTCTTGTGCTGATAGGTTAAGGTCGACTCGAGCAAGTCCCACAACGATGTTTTCGGGTTCCATCCTATTTCCAATGTCCAAACTCTATCAGAATAGCCATTGATTTTTATTTTAAAGCATTATCATCACCATGTTAAATATGGAAATTACCGAGCTGGCGGTTAATGATGGTCATGTCTGGGATTCTCTTGTCACTGTCATCATAACCTTCCCCGTAAAACTCTTTGGAGCTAACATCAACCGTCGGGCTCTCAATGGCTCCTTCTCCACTCACTTTTGCGTAAACCTGAAACATGATTCATTTCGATATTTCAGAACCACAGAAAGAAAGAAAACTCCAACTCTTTTGGTTGTTTTGAAACCAATCTTCCTCACCTCAGTCATCATTTCCGCTAGCTGTCGTACTGTAACTTCATTGTTCGGATTGCCCACATTGAAGATATGGCCATTTGCCCTCTCTGGGTTTTCCTGAACCACAAACACAATATATCAGTGCAGGTTTTTAGTTGGAACTTCTTTGGAGTTAAACAGTTTGTAAACGAAAACCACAAAGAATGATATAAGCAATAGAACGTACAATCATCAAAAGGACAGCTTCGATAGCATCCTTGATGTAGATGAAAGTTCTCTGTGATTCTCCACCATCCACAAGCTTGAGAGGCTCACGACGTAGAAGATTCTGAAAGATAGATAGAGATGCATTAACTCAAAACTTGCATATACACAGGATAACATTGGGTTATATACTTTGATTTGAACACTTACATTACTAAAACAGGCAAGGACACGTGGGACACCTTCGCTAGGACCATCAATGCCGGGGATGAAATCCATCCTAGGTCCAATCCAGTTAAAAGGTCTTACAATGGTGAACTCAAGTCCATTCTCAGCACCCTCAGCTGTCACAAGAAACAAATGAAGTCAAAGTGTAAACCTTTTGGTTCTTACCACACATCATCTTAAACAGAAATGCTTACCGTAAACAAGTCTCTCAATCAGTTGCTTTGCACACGCATATGACCACCTCTGCTTCTCAATTGAACCAAATATGCAAGGAGAAATATCTTCTTTAAGAACATAGAAAGCAGGATCCTGTAGAAAGGCACAACAAACAACATTAGTAAACAATCAAGCCAACCTTAGGCAATTGAAGTTCAAGAAACCATGTTTTCTACATGCTTAAGATCCCACACATTCTTAAAACGGAAAATATTAACTATTCCAATCTGTCTAAAGTCTTAAGTGAATTAAACAAATGAGTTTTACTAGATCCAATGAATAATTCATAATGTAGCTAGGAAAACGAAAGAAAATGTCAGCTTCAACATGTTCCTCAGTACATTCATTGATTTGATTGATAGAAAGACAACAACATGTTGAAAGCGAAAGGTACAAATAGGCATTACCTCACGCAGAGGATGATCCTTAGGAAGAAAGCTACCAATGGTTTTTCCATACACTTCACAGGTAGAAAAGTGAATGAGACGCTTGTTGTTCTCAGAACAGTATTTAACCTAACAAAACCAACACATTAAACCAATCAATTTCAACTGATAACGAAGCACAAAACAATGGACGAAGTAAGAAGAAAACACATACAACTGGAAGCGCATCAATGAAATTGCTGTAGATTGTATCAAGAGGACGTGTATTGTAATCAGCTGGAGTACAGATCGCAGCAAGATTTATAGTCTGCAAACTCCAAAAAACAAAGATCAGAATCACATCACAACATTCCCGATCTCAACACATCGCGAAATTAAGCAGATAATCAAAATGCAAAATATCTGAATTCCGATAAAGAATCATCAGATCTGAGACTACAATCATCACAATCACACTATCATTGCTAATTTCTTAACCATAAACAACGAAGAACAAGAGATAAAGAAGCGAAATCGATAGAAGAAGCATTTTACCAGATCTGCCATCTTAATAAGACCTTCAAGCCTCGAATCATGCTTAATATTGATACGATGAAACTGGATCCGACCACTCCATTCAACGGTATCTGGCTCAAGCAAGTGTTTGATCTTATCGTTGTAAACATCAAGCGCAAGCACCTTGTGAGGCGTCTCCGTCATCAGTTTTTCACAGAGATGTGAACCGATGAAACCTCCGGCTCCGATCATGCATATTGTGATCGGTTTTATCGGTTTTCCGTCTAGATCCACTCTATTAGCTCCGTTCGCCATTTTTTCTCAGATTAGAAAAAAAAAATCGAATTCTCTGTAGAGAGAGAATCTAAAGAGAAAGAGAGAGTGGTGACGGTGGATACTTAAGAGAGAAGAAGCATCGCATGTGAAGAGAGGCAAATTGGTTCGTCGAATTTTGAAATCTCAATCTCGGTATTGGCGCGTGGTGTGTACTCGCTTTATCTGTAGATCCACGTGATCTCGTCTCGTTATTATTCGAGAGGAGGATGTGATATTTTTATTTGTTCGACTAATGATTTTGTATGATTATTAATTATGAGTGTTTAGTCTTAGGGGGGGTATTGATCTAAGGAATGTGAGAGAATTTAATAGAAAGTTGAATTCTAGTGTTATTTAATTAGAGATTTTGTAAATTCTTTTAAATTCATGTGTTATTGAAGATGTTAATTTTTAAGTTCTATCAAATTCAAGTGTTATTCACTATTATAGAATTTTGTATGGCAACATGATTTAACAAGAATTTAATAGAAACATTAGTGCAGAATGTGAAGAAAAAATTCTGAGCTTTTGGGGTGAGATTTGGATAGATATATATAATTAACAAAAACAACCTCACAAACAAAATCTTAACGCGTCGTCTTCGCCTTCATATCTTTTCCCATTATTTTCAGAACAGTTTTGTATCTAAACCAGAGATGGAGAGAGATCTAAAACATAAGCAATCTTGGTTTGTCTGAGATTGAGAGAGAGATCTAACACAGGAGAAGTTTGAGACTGTTTCTGTCGGGATTTCGGCGACTGAGTCACAGCGACTATTCTGGGTCGAAAACAAATTCATGGTTTACTTGGCTTACAGCTTTTTGCAAGTTAGACATCAATGGTAGATACTCTTCTTCTCAAATTTCACAGATCTAAAATCTATGGATTCAATTCTTATAAGAAAAGAGAGAAACTCACTTTGTAGTGAACAAATGATAAACTTTTGATCAGACCCAAAATAAAAAAACTATCAGATGAAGTAAGATGTTTGGTTCAAAGATCAAGAGAAGCCTTTGATTGAACTT